ATTATTCTAGTGATTAATTATTAAACAGTTATTCTTGCAACTAAACAATTTTTAAAATTTAAAATTCTAAGCTTATGTACAAAGGGTGGCAGTATAATGAACTAGTAATGTGTATTAGTTATTAGTTTTAGTTAGGTATTACTAATAACTAATATATTACCCACTTAATAATTTTCATAGATCTTATCGCAAAAATAAAATATTCTGTACATCATGTTTATAACTTTACAGTTTACCTTGACTATATCAATATCATAACTAATAGTGTATAATCAGTGTATAGAGTCTATACTATAAAATATAGACCATGATTTATCATTGAATTAACATTCAACAGATCTGGTACACTTGATACTTTAATACAAAATTATAAAATATGTCCGGGATCGATCGGTTGACTTTTGGTGGTTCTGGGTGCCAGGACGACGTTTTTACAGCACCCGGACGGGGGATTCAATTTTGAATAAGAGTGAGTGGGCTACAAAATTTTTTGAGGAGGGTTCAAATGGATACAAATCGGGTACAAAAAAATGAAATATGTCCGGGATCGATCGGTTGACGATCGAAAGGTCGGTGGTTCCGGGTGCCAGGACGACGTCGTCACAGCACCTGGACGGGGGATTTGGTTTTCCGTAAAAAGGAGAGGGATACAAATATTTTTAAGGGGGGTTCAAATGGATACAAATCGGGTACAAAAAAATGAGATAGGTAAGGGGGGATTATGATGACCTACGGGTGCCAGGACGACGTACCTGGTATTTTAGTTATTTTGTTGAGATTGTATAATATTATTCGTGGGTGCTTGAAACTTCTAAAGTACACTACCTATTGTCTATTATATATCTATGATAGTATCAGGGTTTGTTGTTGATGTATAACGCGTTATAAGTACCTAATGGATATTGTGATGTGATTAATTTGGAATTCATTATAGGTAAATTTTTTTTAATACCATAAATAAGTATATAATATGTCTTACACCTACACTGACATATACCGTCCCGCTCAGAATCGTTTTTCTTATACAATGATATTATATCATTGAATTCAAATTTAATACCATCCATTACACAGTGACCCACTTGTAACCTACTGTACAGCAGAGCAACTTTTTTTTTATTATTTTAGAAAATTTACAATTTGTATTACATGACACAATATGTAAAATAGATGGCTGACATAACACTATATACATACACACAAGACACAAAATAACACATGAAACACAAGATGAGGGAAATCATCAAGCCATGGTACCCTCCAGTAAAAGCAATCTTAAAATAGCAAATGATAAAAAAAATTTGACCAACAATTAATATTCAAATTAAATACATATTTTATAATTTTATCTATTTGCATAATATGGACTCTACAAAATACTGCATAGTTAATAAAATAATGTAAAATTACATACTTATTGTTATTAATTATATACATTTCAAAATTATTTTCCTTAAGTTTATCATGTATTTGCCTAATTGCCTATATTGGCTATATTATAATGTAATAATGTCTATATTAAATGTATACAATTTAGCTTTATGCTTGATTGGTAAAACCATCGATTACAAATACTAATATTTATAATCAATGATAAAACATACTTGTCGACTCATTATGATTAGCTACGGATGATGAGAGGAATTCTTTGTTCTACCAATATCATAAAATATATGCTGCGACGGTATCCGGACAATTTCCCCCCGGACATTTTCCCCCCGACTGTTTTTGGCGTAGTAGGACATTTCCCCCCCGAAAAATGTTCCGATGCGGACATTTCCTCCCCTTTTTTTATTTATTTTTTTTTCATAAATATAATCAATTTTACCTACTACAATTAACTTTATAAATGTTTACTATAAATTTCATTTTTTTTTTTCATAAATATAATAAAAACCTAAAGTAATTGTGTATAGGTAAGTAAAATAGGTTAAAAATTTCATTTTTTTTTTCATAAAGGTATTTTCCCTTGTAAATATTTTCTAATATTTAAATTCCCGTCTAATATTTTCTTGGGTAGTACTTTCATGTTTAATATTTTCCTAAATTAAATTTTCATCGATTTTTAATTCTTAAGAATAATCTCTCTCTAAAATACACCTTCCCGAATTCGATTTTAGTAAGAAGTGATTTCCAGTTAATATTTGTTCCTATCACAAAAGCATTTCCGACAAATATTTTCCTGAATTTAATTGTTACTGACGAACATTTTCCCAAAAATTACGCGCCACCGGGCCTCGTCTCACGAGCATGTCACCGTAATTGGGATTCTGGAACTATTGCAGTGAATTCCGCTTAATGTGATCTCACTGCAGGCTTATATAATTAATATATTATATTTAATATAATCAAAATGGCCCGAACCAATGTGATCACATTAAGCGGTACCTCACCGTATACATTATTATACTTAAGGCAAAATAACAAATGTGAACGAATGTCACCCGCAACATACCTAAAACGTACTATACGTCTATACGTAATACTATAATATATGTTTAATGTCCGTCTAGTCCGATGACCGAAAGAGCAGACGCGCACTTATCGATTTTACCTAGTTTCGGCATGTTATCATGGGATGTGTGATGGTCGGGCACACTATAAAATATCGATGTGGCCGTGGGCCAACCCACTCAACTGTCGACATCTAAAATGTTTAGATGAAAGTTGTACGCCCGCTAAGCGTGAGGGGGGCAACGGGGAATATTTGCACTGGGCAGCCAATTTTTGATACATTTAGGGAGCAGGCAGGCACCGGTGTCTATTATAAAAATACCTAACGTTTTATTTTTTTTTGGTAAGAATTTGTTTGAGTAGGTACCTAAACTTTTTGCATTGCATGACTATATGATACGGTCATATGCGTCATTTATTCATTTTGTCAATCGATAATAATTGATAACTATTAATTTTTTTATAGTTTAAATGTTGACAATAATTAAAACAATGTATCATTTTCTGTGTTCTTAACAACAATACAACATTTTCATAACTAAACAATTTTTTTTTTTTTGGGTGAGGTGTACAATAATGTTGAGCCAGAAAGCAAAAGTGTGAATACGGCCCTGGCGCTAAACTTAAACAAGAACTGTCCTACACAAAGAACATTGGTATTTGGTGCAACTATATAGAGATGACAATGTATAGGGGTGTACCTACTATTAGAGAACCGTTTTTATGACGCATCGTCAACAATAGTTTATTTTTAAATAGTACGCCCAAGCCCTGTTTATTCTAAATCTAAACATACAGGTAGGTGTATTCATTATTATTTATTTCCATAGCATTATGTTTTTCCATTTTTGCATCTCCACGTCTTTTCCTACTAACTTTTGCAATTTAAATCTGGTCTTTTTAATTATAATATTTATGGGCAAATTCACTACGAATCGTAATTTTTATTACCTGCTGTATTCCCGGACCTATTTTCCATCACAATAAATTCAAACAAAATATTTAAACATTTTAAACTATTGAAAAAAAACCACGCCGCTTCTTCTATAATTCTATATTATGTAGTATGTTTCGAGTGTACCCCTGCATTCAGCATGTCTGCTTGTGCACAATTTTAATTCAATGACAAATCGTAGTGTATTGATACTGCAGTGCGAAGGAGACGGGGAGGTCGGTGCATCAGCAAGTGATGAGGAGAGGTGGGCCCCCCCTCCGTAGATACCCCACCGACATATTTTGTTATTATAGAATTTTTTTTAATTCAGTAGTTTCAGAAACAGGTGAAATTTCAATTGTTTTTCCCAAGGGTCCCAGATAAACAAAAATACCAATGTATGCCAAATAGACTCGTGACTATCCCCCTCTTAGGCAATCGTTTACTTCTTATCAGATTTTTAAGCCCCGTTTTATTGATACATCCATCAAACATTCAAACCTATTATTTAATTTCTTTTACCGTGATAAATACGTATTGACATCAAAACATAAAACATTAACAATAAAATAGATTTCATTAATAGTTGTAGCGTATAGCACAATATGGAAATTATGGAAATAATATGAAATTCTCCTCATTTACGATTTACCCATCAACATGAAAAAAGTAGGATGAAGGTACCAACTACTACCTATTTACAAAATATTTTCGTCATTCAACCACTGAACCACGGCCAGACTTTTTAAAATTTTAAATTCGAGCAGCACAATATCAAAACATATCCCCATATGTATGGGAACAATTTCTTGACATTTGCAGTCAGTGATAATTTCATTAATTACCACAACAAAGTGTCCATAAACAGCCACGTTTCACATATTAACCAACCTTGAACACAAAATTTAATACTTGAGGCAATAATAAATTAAATTATGAGACAAAAATAATATTTATTTTATGTTTTTATTGTATAATTGATTAGACACGTATCTATACTTTTTGATCCAAGTAAAATAATACACGTAGAAAAAACCCTTACGACAATTATTGACTACACACAGATTATATAAAATTACACATACAGTTTGGTTGAAAAATAAGTTTGCTTAGTAAATAATTTCTACAATGATATACATTCTTACTCAAAAAAATTCGTACACTTAACATAATATTTGGGTATTATTTATACAATGTCAATGAAGTTGAAAAAATATTTACAAATAGCGTAACAGGTATTAAAGTGCCTTTTTAACAGTAAATAACAAAAATATAGTACAATGATTATTTGGTGTTAAAAATAAATTATATATATATATATGTATATTAATATAAAAATGTAATACACAGAACAAAACCCATGCCTATTATAAGTATAAAAATTATATACAATATGTATTGATACCAAGAATTAGGTAGGTATGTAATTGTTTCGCCAGCCATCGGCAGTATAGGTACCAGTCTTTATATAATATTATGTATTCATTAAAATATATTGACTTCCAAATGGTTTGGTCACTAAAAGTTCTTTGTATAAATTAAATAAATAGAAAAACAACAGGTTTTACTCAACAACTCCAAAAGCTCAATAACTTAATTATAGGAACCTAAATTAGACTTCATCATCATCGTCCTCTTCCTCTTCTTGTTCTTCATCATCATCATCATCATCTTGATCTTCGACACCATTTTCCTCTACATCTTCTTCGTCATCATCTGCTTCAACCTGCTCCGTATCTTCTTCGGCATCAACATCGTCATTTTGTTCATCATCGTCGTCGTCATCTTCTTCAGCATTCTGTTCCACGTCTTCATCATCTTCTACATCATCATTTTGTTCATTATCATCATCATCATCCCCATCGTCGTCATTTTGTTCGACGTCTTCCTCCTCCTCCTCCTCCTCCTCGTCATCATCATCGTCTCCTTTATTTTCTGTTTCAGCATCTCCGCCGTCTTCTACCTCCTCCTCTTCTTCTTCTTCTTCTTCCTCTTCAATTTGTTCGTCTAACATGTCATCATCCATTTCTTGACACAAATCTTTACCTTTGCATAATTTACTACCCGGCCCATGGCCTAATATATGTTTCTCTCCATATGACTTTGAATTAAACACCAATTCACACTCATCGCAATGGAATTTCGGGAACGCTGGTGGTGCAGTTGAATGTATAATACGGTGTTTTTGGAGTTTTGAAAATGCATTGTGATTGCGACCACAGACATCACAAGCAAATAATGACAAAACAGTGGCATTCGGATGGTGATTGTCTAAATGTAAAGCTAGCTCGTCATAATTTTTAGTTATCTTACAGCAAATACCACAAACGAATGCAGCTTCGGTGCGATGAGCTCTTATTAAATGTTGCCAAAAATGTTTCAAACTTATCCATTCTTTTTTGCATATACCACATACAGTCTTATTACTTTTTGGTGCAGGTGGCTGTTGTTCTTTGCGATCAGTTTCTTCTTCCATATAACTGTCTTCAATAATCGAATGCTCTTCTCGTTTGTGATCATATAGATCTGTTTCAAATCTAAAGCTTTTGTAGCAAACCGTACAAGAATGTAATTTTCTTAGCCTCTTTGTGTTTATATCTGAAGTAACATCGTCTATATCTCGTTTCAAACTTTCCTGTTGCTCTTCATTGAAACCGAGCTCAGCAAGTTCTTTAGGAAGACCATATAGCTTGGGAGTTTTTGGTTTTGGTTCTATTGGTTTTTTCACAGGGGTAGTTACTTTAGGGAAATCCTCTTTTGCTGGATGATTTTCAATGTGATCTTTAAGTTTGTCCATATCACTGAATACTTTCCAACAGATTTTACAAGGTTTTAAATTTTTTCCATGAATTTTATCTATGTGTTCCCCAACTTTACTACCAAGAGTAAACATTTTTCCACAAATCTGACAAATATTTGACTTGGAAAATGTCTGAGGGTGTGCTTCATGTAAATGTTTTGATAAACCATCATTGTCAACACATACTTCCATACACACACCACATAAGTACTGAGTGTTTCCTTTGTGTCGCTGCCTCAAGTGTTTTCTATAGGTTTTCTTATTTGAGTGCATATCTCCGCAAAATTCACAAACATATGAAAATACTTTACGAACATGATCACGTTTATGTTTCTGGCAATCGACTTTAGTTCTCATAACTTTGTCACAACCTTCAACATCACAACACAACTCAGGGTCATTTCCATGTTTGTCTCTGATGTGATCCATTAGTAACATTTTATTATCAAAGTGTTCACCAGTTTTATCCTCGGAACATATCTCGCAGTACTGAACTAAGTGGCTATGTTTTAAATGTCTGTTTAAGTAAGTCTGATATTCAAACGTTTTACCACATTTTGTACAAGGATAATGACCTTTTTCTTTGGGTATTGGCATTGCATCTCTTTTACCTTTGCAGTATTTAAGATGTTTCTTCAGTAAACTTCTAATCCTAAACACTTTATCACATCTTATACATTGGTGAACAGCATTTAATTCTGCACAAATACTATTATTTGACTTGTCTATAAGCTGATCCACAGGATCAGAATGATATTTTATCATATGTCTTTTGAGGTGAACTTTAGAAGCAGATGTGCGTGCACATAAGCTACATGTGACGTCTGGATGACCTTTGTGTTGTCTACTAACATGCTTCCATAAATGATTATTGCCACTATAGTATTTTGAACATAGATCACATACATGCAATTGATGGTCATTCTTTCTGTGTTCAGATATCTCTTCAACAGTTTTAAATTCAGTATCAGGACACAACGTACACTTAAGATTCACTTCAGTTAATTGATCTGTTACAAAGTGAGATACCTGATCTTCAACATTGTGAATTGATCTATGCCTCATCATTTTTGACCATTTGGTGTAGGTGCGTCCACATATATCGCAATAAATAGCATTCTCTTTAGACACTAAAGGCTCATGTTTCTCTTTAATATGTTCTCTAAGTGTTGGTACATCCACATGAACTTTCAAACATATACCACATAATAAAGGCATACATTCAGCATGTACAGCCATTATGTGTTTATAAAAATCATTTCGATTAGGCCATAATCGCCCACATACTTCACAGGTATTAGGAAGTTCACCTTGGGTTTCGTGATGAGATTGATGTTCAATTTGTAAAGATTGTGACACAAATAATTTTCTACAGTCTGGTTTTGGGCATATAAGTGTTTCATTAGTACCGTGCTGTTTAAGCACATGCCACCATTTTTCAGTACGAGAACCACATGAATCACCACATAATTCACAACGATTCACAAAACTATTTTGAGAAGAATTTCCAGTGGTTGTTACAGCTGTTGTAGTAATCATATCATCACAACCAGTCATTAAATGAACTGAAGACATGTGTCGTAAAAGTTTTTCTTCACTTGGAAATACTTTGTGACATACTTGACAACTAATTGTGTAATGTTCATTATTTGAAGACTTGGTCGGATGAAAATTATTATTGATTATTATTAATTTATCAGGATCGATAATTTGACCATCATTATCGTATACTGTGTGGATGACTACGTGTCTCATCATTTTTTTCTTGGTATCATGTTGCCGTGCACACACCTGACATCTATATCTACGTTGTACGGAGTCTGCAGTATCACAATTTTTAGGGTGTTGGATATTTACATGTTCCATTAGAGATTTACTATCAGTGCAGATTTTCATACATACTCCACATGTCACTGCAGCTTCCTGTTTGTGACCTCTGACCATATGTAACCAAAGACTAGCTTTGTCTTGAAATTCTCTAGTACATACTTCACAAAAAAACACAGTTTCAGCTTCCATCATACTTTCAGCAAGTTCTTCATCTTCTCCCAAATGTCCATTTAATTTATGTAAATCTGAAGGTTCAATACCATGCACTTCAGATATATGTTGACTTAAATCAATTTTATTACTAAAATTTCGTTCACATAACAAGCAGGATTGACGAAGATTTTCTTGTTTTATCTGAGAAAGCAGAAAGTGATCACTTGGTCCCGGTGGTTCAATTTCATTTTCTCGAGCTACTTTTCTCGGATTAGCATTTTTACGACGACTTCCAGAATCCGATTGTGATAAACTTCCTCCCTATAAATATAATTACACATATTAGATTGGTAACATAATAAATTATTAAATAAAACCAAACAATACAAATCAGGCATCAAAACTGTTTCATATATTTTTTAATATTTAGCTTTTGTTTTTTAATTTTTCAGTTTCTACTTTCGAGTTCTTATATAATACGTCGACTTTCATAGTTTTAACCATAGATCTATAAACTAAAACTTAGTTAGCACATTACCGATTTAAAATTGGATCTCGGTTTTTCCCTTGGAATATTATTGATGATACAGTTACCAGCATGAACTCCAATCTAAAATTAATAACAACGATCAAATTTTAAACACAGAAAAAAATATGACCCAGTATTTAACTAGGTAAGGTACCTCTAAAAAATCCATTGGGTTTGGAGAATCTTCTCGTATACTATTATTGTTTGTATGGCTACTTATTATGGCACGTTGCTGCATCATTTTTTGATGCATTGCCTGCTGTTGTTTTTGATACTCTGTACGGCTATCATTAGCAAAATATTGCATTTTGTTTAGTGGCGGGGGCGCTCTTTGAACTAGTTGCTTTTGACTCAGTCGTTGAGCTTTTAAGAATTGTTGTAATTGCATAGATGCTGCAGGTTGCTTGGAAGGCCATATGGCTGGTTTTAAAGGAGGAGGTTCGCTTTTAATTTTCCTTGGTTTGGGAGGAGGATTTGGAGAAACAGCAAAAATTGATACCTACAAACACGCACATTTTAGTTTAATTTAATTTGAGCATATTTTTAAATAAAAACAAATTGATTTCAATAGAAAATGTCTTAAAAAATTCTGTTACTAAAAACAAATACTTTTTAGATAAGAATAGGTATAGATTTTTTACTTACTTCTGGTTGAATGTGATGTAATCGTGACATTTTATTATTTTGTGTAGACCGATTATATTCCTAAAACAAATAAAAAATTATATTATGATTTCACTATTAAATAAATTGCAAAAATAAACATTTTACAATATTTAAAATAGTTAAGAAATGTTCTCAACAAACATGTTTACTGGTTTAATATAGAAAGTAAAACACAATAAAGTTTTCCCTTAAGTAACAACAGTACTTTGTTATAATATACTAAAACAAACCAAAAGTTTTTTATGAATTTTGTAATATCAGAAGTAAAATATTTTAAATTTTCATCAAAAACTTCTTCACTAGATATAGGTTATTTCTATTAGATGTTATTGGTGATTTATAAATTAAGAGTTAAATGATGATGAAAACATTTTTTTTAAATTTTCATTAATTTAAAAAATTTTAATTGGAACCTATCTATTTGATAAAAATAAGACAACATTTTTTTTTGTTTAGATAATTAGGTAAATTAATTACAAAACATACCTAGGGTATTATTTACCACAATATTTCTTAGGTTTGTTGGATACAGGTATGATTTATGAATACCTGTAAGCAGTGGCGTGGTGAACATTTATAAACCTTGATGCCCAGCATATATTTCAGTACCTACCCCTTCTTTATCCCCTTAATATAATATATAATACATATAATTATTATGGAACTGTAAATATTTTAATTTTTGTTGTATGTTATTGGTTACCATAATGTACCCAAATACCCCACCCCAAAAAAAAAAAATCACCATGACGCCTAGGCGTCATAAAACCCCATTCACCACGCCACTGCCTGTAAGGTATAAGAATTACCTAATTACCCATAAATAAATAAATCAAACTTGTAAAATGTCTATGTAGAATAATATATATAAATAAATACAATACTTTAAGGTTATCACTTACAATTAATGATATAAATGGAGAAATAAAACAATTGTTAGTACCTAGTTACTTGTAGTCACAAATAAAAAATTTTAGTTTATTAGTATACATTTATTAGGAGTTTGTTCCAATATTCATTGTATGTAACTGATGGTTACCTGTGTATGATATTTACTAATTAGTAATTAGTAAGTACCTGAATATTACCTATGTAAAAATGATATATATATAATATAGCCAATATATACAGAACTAAAGAACTTGTTATAATAGGTCTGTTGAATTAACATGTAAAAGTTAAAGTTAAAATAATTATTTATAAACCATAATATAATTTTAAGATAAGTTTATTCAATCAATTATAATGAAAATTAAATTATTTAAAGTCGTAAAAAGTTAAAAAAATAAAAATACAAATTTACTATACTTTTAGTATTTACCACAAATTAAGATGTATATCTTTATTCGTGGTATTTACGTTAACTATTTTATAAGTTTCTTGTATTTAAAAGGTAATCATTTTTTTACAATTAACGTTTATAGATTGGTTTGTTCAAATCTAAATTGGGGAGTAACTAAACGCATTTTCAAAAATCATTTGAAAATGTTGTCTAAAATTATGGTAATTCACTTATTGGGGAAGTTAAAAAAAATTCATGGTATTTATTATCACACTAAATGATAATGAAATCGGTATATTTACGTATATTATTATACTAATAAAATAATAACAATCGTTTTCGGAGAATCGTGATAACAATAATAATAGGAAGGCGGCGGCAACAACAGCAGCTGGCAGCTGCTGTATATCATCATTATACATAAATTTACTATGAAATCTTACACGCGCGCGCGGTGCTTGAAATGTTCGGAATACGATTATTTCCCTCTAAAACACGATGGCGTGATGATAAAAATGAAAAATTCAAATTTTGGTAAGCCTAGATGTTATCTTATCAATAATAATTGATAACATAACACGAAAGAATTAATAAATAATAATACCTATATAATTGATTTTAATGTTATTATAAATATTGTTAATAGATACCACAATTAGGCAAGAGCAGTGTATTGTGCCGATTACCGAGTGACTAACGGCGATTTCGAGAAGAAAAAAAATTTCACGACCGCCCCGACGAGTTTTTACCGATTACCGAGTGAGATTCGCATAACAAACTGGCCCAGTCGTTCGCGACACCGTTGACGACGACAGCACCGCAGCCGTCGCCGTCGCCGCAGTAGCAGACGGCCCACACACTCGTTTCCCTGGAACAATTCCACCGTGTCCGGACCAGAAGGAGGTGCAGCCGGCCGTCTGTTCGTTCCGGATACACGCACACGCGGCACACCACTCCCGCTCGGAGTGAAAAATTATATACCTATACAACGTGTAAAAATCCTGTAGCGTATCATCAACCGCACAACGCTAGCAGGCGGCAGGTGTATTGCGTTAGTATTTTCACGCGCATAACGAATTAGCTGCAGCAGGTCGTCGGGAGCGAGAGGGCGAGCGGGCGGGCAGGCGGTCAGGCATCGACGGCACTGCATGATACAGAGAACGAGAACCGAAATCCAGTTGCCGCCTCCGGTCGTGTCCCCCGTGGCCCCTTGGACGAACGATTCCCTACCGCACTGCCACAGCCGCCCAACACTCCGCCGCCCGCCGTCCACCTCGTTTCGCCAAACGACTGCTTCACCACTCCTAGGCGGTCACCAACGTCGTCGCCGTTCCACATTCTACGCGCCGCGCCACATCCGTAACGCCGATGGTGTAGTATTTAGGTCACCTTCAAGCGCGCGGACAAGAGTAAAAAAAATCCCGAGCGCCACGTCCGGTCCCTTGCGTCGGTTGTGACCGTCGCTCGAGCTCCCGAAAATTATTGGGTCGAGCTAGTGCGGAGTCCTCGAAAAGGACCAGGGAGTACACCCGAGACACGAATCGCGAACATGATCGCAAAAAAAAAATAGCTTCCAAATAATTGCAAAATACGTTACCTTTGCGCGAGGCGGCAGCTATCCGTTTCGGGCGAAGTCTGATTATGTGTCCAAAGTCACTGCCGAGTGACGACGACGACTAGTAATGCGGTGCCACTCACGGTGACGTGCGCGGGCGGGAAGGTAGTGGTGGCGATGGTGGTGGTGGCGGCGGCAGCGGTGGCGGTGTGTCGTCACTGTCGTGCGGCGGGGCCCCTTACATAACTGGCCCACGTCCAAAGTCGGCCATTTGCACGAGTGTGGATATCCGGCGGCGGTGGCCGCCCGGGCGTGGACGGGGATGACGGTGGACCGGGCCCGTCGTACGGACGACGGACGGACCGGTGGGCAGCTGCAGCCGCAGGAGCACCCGCGAACTTGGGTATCCGGCGCGGACGACGGGCACGGCGAGGCGTCTGCTTCAGACCGAAAGACGGGACATGGGTCCGACGTCGTGGACACGGAAGCGAGGATCACCGGAGCACGGCGCCCAAACAAGATCGTCAAGTCGCGAAACGGCGAAACCGAATGACATATTATTACTAACTGCTTTTACCTTTTTTTTCCCCGTCGGCCGTCTGTACTCTGTAAACCGATGTAAACGGAACCACGATTCCACGATACGGTCGGCAGGATAGACGAGGGGAGAGAACCATTGGCGCTCATACCAACCAAACTCGCGCCGACGGATGTGTCCCCGCCAGTGGTCGCGCACCACTGGACCGGGCGCAGTGTGGCCAACGGTTTCACTGTCGCAGCAGCAGCCTATCACAGAATAAATGAAAATGTTTAATCAATTCTGTGTGCCCATCATCAAGATAAAGAATATATAAATAAAATTTTTTTATTATATTTAATAAAAAAGTGTATTCTTTACCTCGATGGAGCCTATAGTGATTTTATCACTCATTATTGAAAACGAAGCCACATCTGTCATTGTGTCATCTAGAGGGAAAGTGGGAAACCTATTAGAATGTTGGCCCTGTGTGAGTAAGTATTGGAGCAACTAAAGAGGGTGTACGTGGTTTTGTATATCCCCTAAAAATAAATGCATTTTTCATCATACAGTGGAACCTCGATAAGTCGAAAACCTTGATAAGTCGAAAAAAATTCCATCCCCTTGCGAAAACCTCGATTACTCGAAAAAAAAACTATAGATAACTCGAACATTCTGTGCTCCGAATATGACGGATAATGACAGATAATTTTATAAACATTTATCTAATCAGCTTGTCCGTTCCGATAATTTTATCTAATCTTCATTGTTTCAATGAAGCAAGCAACAGCAGCTCATATTGCTAAGGACATTCACCGAACAATTGAGTAATGTGGACGATAAAGTGTACTCTGCTTTAAATGTAATAGAAAATACAATTGATAATAGTAAATTTCAAATTTTAAGTCAAAGTAAAATAATAAATTATCTTTTATAAAGTATTATATTTTTTTGTAATAATTTTTTTATTTAAATAATCTGTATAATCACATTTTTTTACATTGTTTATACATAATATATACTAAGTACATAATAATTAAAAACTTTAATACATACATACATTTTTAAAACTCTTTAAGTCGAATTTTTTTTCTAAAACCTTGATAACTCGAAAACCTTAGTAAGTCGAAAACCTTGATAAGTCGAAAAAATTGCATTTCCCTTGAATTTCGACTTATCGAGGTTCCACTGTATTTTGATTATTTTTATGTGAATATTATCAATAAATACAAAAATGTTGTACTATACCTATGATGACACTATGACGGTATACTCCATGTTGAAGAATATGAATCTAGGACGTTTCCCCCCCCCGGACAAAAAAAATAAATATTAGGTAAATAATAATAATAAACAATGCAAATAAATAAATGTACAAATGATTAAATTAATATATAAATATAATTGTATAAATGTAAATAAATGTACTATTTGCTTGTACTGTTAGAAACAATACCTTAAATAATACTGTCATCGGTATTCGGTTGTAATACTTGCTTGACAACAATTTTCATTATTTTTAGATTGTTTTATACAATTCCAACGTATCCATAATTTAAAACGTTTTTGTTTAACAAATACGAAATTTTGAAATATGATTTTCTTACCACCTCTTTTTGTTTCATTTATTTCTATTATATCCATTATAAAATGCA